TAAAGAAAGGATCTAATAAGGAAGTTATTTAACATTGCAAATTAGAAAGTCTTAAGTTTTTATGACAATAAAACTTTTTACTTAACTTTAAGCAAACTTTATCCTAACACAAATTTGATTCAAGAACTAATGGCATATTTAATGTGCCTCGAAAGTCTTTCAAATTTTGCTAAGAAAAAAAATCATTTTAAATTTCGTCATGTAGAAACTGTAATTAGGGAATGTCATTATTCTGAGATATTCGGTACGTTAATAAGTAGATAATATTATGGATCTGCGGATGGGGCGTTCCACGATGCGTTATCTGCAGTAACATTGCGGTAACATGATTATAACACACATTGTAAAATACAGCATACTGTTGAACCGGACAAATACGTGTAACAGGTTCGCCATGTAACGAGCCGAGTGCATTTGAATTTGAATGCCGCAGAACTAATTTACGCCTAATATATATCATAGCGATGATATATATTAAGAACAATAACACACGCATTAAGAAGCGATAAAATTCAAAAAGACGGAAACGTGAATGAACTCGTCAATTAAATTAATACATATGAATTAACGATCGCAATTTTATAATATAATTGCTAGAAGATTTTACATATATATATATACATAAGCACGTATAAAATTATAATTTAACTAATTATATAATTTATAAATCAATACCGTTTGGACCATTTTAGTCACATATGTAATTCAATTTCTCTACGATTAAACGGATCTATACGTCGTACACGAGATATCATATCATCTTTCCGCGCAAGACAGGTACATGTATAAATATACTTCTCTCTCACATGTTTATCATTTCTCCAAAAATCTTGCGATCGTGATACATCCGTGGCGAGTTATCGCATCGTGCACTCCGCGAAGGTTGTAGGATTTGTCGATCCGCGATTTCACAGAAATGATGAAACGATTTTAAAATCTTCACTCGAGCTCGAGTTTCTCCGGCGAGAAATCACCACGAACAAGATGAAACACTTATCTCGCGAACTTCACTGCGGGATAAGAAAACAGAGAGAGAGAAAGAGAGAGAGAGAGAGAGAGAGATCGAAATACAATCGCGGATCTTCGAACGAACGAACGAACGAACGAACCAACGAACGAACGAACTTCCTCCTTACCGATCTAACGGGTGAATCACGGCCCCGTTAATCGACCCTACCGGCTCACCCCGAAATTACGGAAAAGAGCCGCGTATCTCTCTCTCTCTTTCTCCCTTTCCGCGTGTGTTTCGCCCCTATATCCCCGGTGCGGTCTCTCGACGTTACAATGCGCGCACCACCGATGCACGACGCGCGATACTCGATTCGCGCGTTGTAATGGTCGATCGCGGCTTCGACCCTCTTCCGAGCCATCGAACGCGGCCCGAACGCGGTCGGATTTTTCGACGTTTACTGCCTTTAGGCCCCTGGACCATGCGTCCGCCACCACCCTCTCTCATCCCCATGCTCCCCCGAATACTCAAATTGACCCGTCGTGCTCGATCCACCCTTTCCCTCCACCGCTCTGTTCGCAGCGAGCAGAGTTCCCTCCCTCTCTTTCATCAACCCTTCGCAGTTGCCACAGCTTCCAACCTTTTTACCCCTGTACCAACCCTGTGCTTTTTCCCCGTTCCTCGCCCCAACCCTACCACACCCACCCCTCTTTTTATTCCGTTCTCCCTCACGCGCACCACTCATTATAGTTCCTCCCTCCCTCTCTTTCTCTCACCCTCTCCATCCCCGTGCCGCCTCCATTTCCTCGTCCTTCTCGCCCACCACCATCCGCTCACTCGCTGCTGTTCTCCCTTCCAACCTTACACGTCGACCACCCTCCACCCGGTTCAACGCTCTACCGCAACCCTGGGAAAACCCTGGAAAATCCAGCGGCGTGCACCTAACTTCACCGTCGCGCGTGTGTGTCTACATGTATGTACACACACACACAGACACATAATATATATATATATATGTCGCTCGCGCATGTATCCATGACACAAGCAAGCAAAAGTTGTGTGTATCTACCGGGTGTCTCGGAACCGCCGTTCTTCGTTAGGGGGATCTGTGATCAACTCGCAAGGTGAAAGGAGAAACTCTCATCTTCGAATGTATATAGATAAGCGTAAATTATTGATTATAATCGCGAGTCGAAAGTGTAATGAATTATTCGGCTAAATTTTACATAGATATAATTTGAATATAAAATTATGTAAAAAAATAAGTGATTTCTTTCCGCCGAAAGTCTTCGAGAAAAACATCCGCTTTGAATATATAGCTGGGAGAGAGTTTCTTATATATAGATGGAGGAGCGTTAGTTTTCGAACATCCCGTATGCAATGTTGCGTATACAGCTGCCGCAGGAGGCATGCGTAGGTAATAGGCATCGGCCAGGACGTTAGCGCGAAAATTGTTTATTTAAAGCCCGCACGGGGGATGGTCGCGCGTGCGCCGCGTCGGTGCACGCATTGGAAATTGCGTGCACATAAGGATGGCGGACGTAAACGCGCGTGAATATATATATATACGCAGTCGAAGCAATCGCGTGCGCGTTTATTTCATCTCTGTTCGCGTTGTTAAAAAAAAAAAAAAGTCGGAGGAAATCTGGTAAAAATCGCGAAACACGCGCCGGAGAAAATCAAAACAATTTCGGGGAGAATCTATTTAGGAAGGTCGGGACAATTTTGCGCGGCTTTGACGAAAGATGGGATTTAAAAAAAAAAAAATGCCTTGATATTATTAGCGTGTGTTTAAAGCGTTAAAAGGTAACGAAGTTGACTCGAGCCACGCAGTATATATATATATATGTATATAGTTTCGTAAACGTATACGGATTAGAGGTAGAGATTGTAGTACTATAACGCGCTGCGCGACATACAAAATGTATGAACCATCTTTGTTTCGCGTTCTTCTGGTTTCCCGTTCATAAATAGTACAACCGACTTTGGTTCTAATTATTACACTTCCGATTAATATAACGCGTTAATAGTTAAACCGTGCCTTACGTCCATTCACTTATACACTGATATATCTTATATATATATTGTCATTACGTTGGTATCGCAAATACGGACGCACATATTTGATCGCGATACACTCGCGGACGAAAGTAAACGCTTACGGCTATTACGGCAGTGCAATAATCGGGCGCGTAAACCTGCAGGTAGCCGCGGGTTTGTATTATATATTACGCTACATTACATTAAGCATGTTGTATGCGTACAGCGCACCCACCGCTGATAAGCGCGCGGACTCGTGCAGATACACGTAAATCGGGAGCGGGTTGAGGGAGGACTACCGGCAGCGATACGTCGCCGGTGCATGGGGGCGCATTAATACGCACGTGCTTGCCGTGCGTGCGCTTCGGCAGTTGCATCCAAGATAACCGAGCGTAATCGTTATTCCGCGTTTTGTCCGGCGCGCACGAATCCAAGAAACGTGGAGAAACATTTTGTCGAAGCGCGATAGGGATATTTCTCGCGAGAGATATTGATCATTGTTCTTTTTTCATTAACAGGAAATTATTACATAACTTTCTACTTCTTTACGTATACATACCGCGCGCGACGTACGTTAAACGCGGGATCTCTATATTTGATGTATCATTTGTATATTAAGATTTATTTTCTGAATTTTTTTTGAATATAAATTTTTCTTCCATATACATGTCGAATTAGTTTTTCCCTATTTTTGATAGAAAAATTGTTAAGCCATGCGAAGAGATGCAACACAAAGGACGCAATTATTTCGGCGTATTTCTCCCGAGGGCGAGTTTTTAATCTGAAATTGATGAAGATTTTTATAATGTCCATTATACACGCCGCATATAAATCAAATTAAAATGTATTAATCGATGTTACAAGCGGCGCGAAAAAAAAAAAAATAAATAAACACACGGTATATGTACGTGGGGGTACATCGCTCTGTATTAAAACTGTAGATTTTACAGTCCATGCCGTGAGTGATTTATGCGCGTTGCAGCGGCTCTCGTTGTGCGCTCGTCGATGCAGGCTTCGCGATTTCAGATCCCGGGTGTTTCCCGGTGCAGAAAAAAAGCGCGAGATGAGGGCTGGAACGGATCATAGGGGTCGCGAGAGACTCTCGACGGGAGGGTTTTTCCCGGATCCGCGAATTTTGCACCGTGCTCGTCGGGGGCGCGTTTTAGTTTTTAACTACGAATCCTAGGTTATAACATTTATCAACATTCTGATTGCGCATTAATCGACGTAAAAGTCAACTCATCAATATCCAAAGTCGATGCATGACGTTTCGCATTTGACGTCTCTTCTTTTTTATAGAAAATAAAGTCGTTCCAGTTTTTTTTTTTTTTTTTTTTCGGAGTTTTTTACGCGAATGATAATCGTTCCTGCGGCAGTCTCCTTCTTTGTCCCACCCTTTTTTCTCTCGCTGACTCTGATTTTCTCGTTGACTTGATAATTGCTCCCCTCGAAACGCGTCTAAGACGAGGCGCGCGCGAAGCGCACTTGATTTTCTCCGAGTATAACGTTATGCAATTTTATGCGGAAACTTCGAGACGCAAAGACGAGGCTCGCTTGCAAGGCTATGGTAATAGGTGTGGGATCGTTAGCGCCACGATTGTCGGACACATTGATCGCTCGTTTATACAGATGTTCGAAATTCGAATTGCGAATTTATGCCCAAGTGGTGGTCGCTGTCAGTGGCTACGAGACTCTTTCTTTCTACACGCTCGCCTTTCACTTATTATTATGACTTCACAGCTCATAATTTTCATCGCGAAACACTTTCTTTCTTTCTTTAATTTTCTTTAGTTTATTTTGCTGCTCGTTCCAAGTGTGAACTTGAGAATTATATTAGATAAATTAGTCGTGATAATAAATTATTTTTATCTCAAAATATTAATTATATTAATGTAGAATATAAAATCTTCAATACCTTTGACTTTTTTCTTATATTAATATTATTGTCACGATTTAACATGATCTTTGATTCTTGAAAATGGGCATATATAGATAAATATGTATAACTCACAGAAATGATTGCCAGGTCCAGCGTAGTGATGTCCCTTATATGCCGCGAATAATCCGGGGTTGATACCAATCTGTAAAATAAAACGAGAAATTCATTAGAAATTTTTATTTGTATCGCTAGATTTTATTTGACATAATATTCGCGATTGAAATATTATCTAATCAAATTGCGATTGTTTCCATTAGCATGGACACGATTAATTCACCATTATTTTAATTAACCATATAATCGTGAAACAAATAATGTAGAAAAGTATTCTTAAGTCCACATTACTTTGTTTTTCTTTCTCTGAAAGTTCTTTGTATCCTCGTGTCGATCTCTTAGAAATTATCACTTTTATTTCCAGACTTATTTCCGTACTTCGAAACGGCGAAATTATTGTCTTCGCATCCTCGAGTTTTCATCGAGTTTTTCTAGACTCTAGAGAAAAAAAAACTTGGTCCGAGAGAGACGAGTCGTTCACGTCACGCGTCGCTGTCGATGTAATTAATTTCGCTTTCTATCGATTATAAAAGCTAAGTCGAGGCTTTAGAGAGAAAAGCATTCACTTTATTTTTTCGATATTGTTTTTTTTTTTTTCTGGTCTATGGCACCCGATAAAAAAGGCGCGGAAACGGGGAATCGAAATCGATTCGTAAATCCATATGCTGTTAATTGAGGCAGACCGTATCGTAATTAACTATACATACGCATAAACATGACTAACCATGTATAAACATGATATAAAAATTATGTACAGATGGTTTGAAATCGACGAAGGAATTTTGATAAGCAACAAATTTACAAAGTTCAGATGCATTCTTCTTCGAAAAGAGATATTTTCAACTCCACTCGAGTTTGCGTTCGAACATATCGCAATCGTAAATATATAAAAACAATATGTAATGATTAAATGAAACATATATTATGGAAATATATACATGTACATGTTTGAATGTTCGCGATATGTGCATAATGTTTAATTTAACTCCAAAAGCATCCTAAAAAGACACGCTCGACGAGAAATTGCATGTATTTATAACATATACAGGTACGACGAAATTAATTCCGTTATTATGAGAGCAATGCGTATACTTCAATGCAACGTTTTTAATCTGCAAAATGCAAAATTGCAAATTGTCAAAACAAGTCCTGGTTCGCGAGAGCTTCCAGCCGCTGTCGGATGCTTTGGCATTTCTCACATTGAGATGCAAAAATATTAAACGTGATTAAACTAGCATATATTTCTAACATGCGCACTTTCCTCATTCATCGAATGAATGAAAATGGCCAGAATCAAATAAAATTTTCGCCTCCCGTTCAATTCCGCTTTAAGAGAGAGAGAGAGAGAGCTCGCGTCTAACGTCTCTTCTGTATGTGCACTTTCAATATTTTCTTTTTCCAATTTTACTCGAATTCCTATGAATGTAGCCTCATCAGCAGATTGCATTGGAACAATGAGTGCTTTTCCAAAATCAAAAATGGGATAATTGAAACTCTTGGTTAAATGGAACGGCGCGATTTTTCAATATGGAAATTAACAATTTTCTTTTTTCACAAATTCTCCGAACACATCATGAACATTTCATCTCTTTTTAATGTCATTTCATAATAACTGGGAAATTATATTGTCTCTGTTTTATTTTGATTACGCGCTCTTTCTCTCCGCTTGTGATTTTCTTAAATAATAATATTAGTACCTTACTTACTAATCCTCCTCTTCTGCTCGCTTAGCTAATTTACATTCTTTTTTTCTCGCGTAAACGAGTATCGTCTTTCAACATTTTTCGCGAAAACCATTAATTAAACCCAATCACGTGCGCTGCACTTCCTCGCGCGATATTGTTAAATCGAAAAAGAGAGAGAGAGAGAGAGAGAGAGAGAGAGAGAGAAGAAAAAGAAAAAAAAAAAGAGAGAGAGAGGATCGATTTCTTTCGCGACTTTACGTGCGCGCTTCTTACTCGCGATTATGCAACGGCGTGGCGGGAGGGGGAGGAGAAGAGAAAGAGATGGAGAAGGAGGAGGCGCAGGTGCGGCGTCGGTACCTGTTGCACAACCGCATTATCTTCGCTCCTCGCTCCGCCGGTTAGGTAATTAATAACGACAAAGTCCAAGGATACGTTATGCGCGCGGTCGCGCGAGCACCATTAGACGCGCATCTCGCTCGCTATTAAAGCCCTCCCCCCCCCCACTACTCCCCCTCGTCTCCGATGCACTCACTCTCGCGCTCTTTCTCTCTCTCGCGCGCGCGCGCGCGCGCGCGACTGACCTTTTCGCAAGTGCAAGGTGCGCGCGGGAACAGAGAGGACAGGCTGAGAAGAATCTCGTGTCGTAACTTATCGACGTTTATCTCTCGCGCCTAAGCCACGTCTCATCCTGGACGTCGCGCGTAAATAGGGATTAACATTCACCGCGCAACGAAACGGCCCCGTGCACTCGTCGAGATAATTGCATGACAAAGTGCACGTTCCGTAGGAACGCACATGTAGAAGCGTGCGTGCGCGTTTGTGTGGGGTTCCATTAAGAAACCGCGACGCGTCCGCGAGAAGGGATCGGCGCCTGATTAGTTTGAATTCTTCTTCGCGCGGCTCGCTCCTATATTCTCTCTCGCCTCTGTTTTAGCGTTGCATTGAGAAAATCCCCTTCGGGGGATGTCGTTATGAATACCCGAATAGAAACACAGAAGAAAAGGAATCCTTGATTCGAGTATATTTTTATTCGCGAACGCTATTTGATTGATTTAAGCATAGAATGACAAATTTTCATTTGCTTTAATAATAAATAAGTTTGTGAAAAGTATATTTTATCCTTGAGATATATTCTTGTTTGAAAAATCGCATATGGCAAAACAAACTTAGTCACATTTGAACTAACGATAAGAATTATTATATATTATACTTGAAAGTAGCGCTTATTTTGCACTTTGTTTTAAGGGTAAATTATCCTTTATCCAAAATTATTTATATTTGGCGCTATTATAAGGCTATTTGCATTCTCTCAAGGATACTGTTTTTCTGTGATTTTATTCAGTTTTTAGCAAATAACTGGCCAAGAATTCTGGTTACTAGCTAGTTTTTGGCCAATCAAACTGGCCAGAAATTTTGACAGGTTTGGGAGAAAAAAAAAAAAAAAACAAAAACCATGCCCAGTATTTTCCTAATTTTTACTAAACAAAAACTGCCCAAAATTTACCGATTATTTTTCACGTCGAGTTTCTGACTGCGAGAACTAGCCAAGACACTATGCTCAGGATTTTCAGAGTTTTTGCTAAACACAAATTGCCCAATATTTACCCATCATTTTCTAATGTCTTGAACAGTTACCATCTAACTAATCCTAGCAAATAAAAACTATAACCGATTTCTGGATAGTGAAAAGTTTTTCCCAAACATTTTTCTACTCGGGTAGTACCTTGTGAAACAGCACGCTTGTTAAAGGTATAGTTGAATGAAGAAGCTCGAAATGGTGAGAATCTTGCGAGAATTTCTTCCTTCGAAATTCGTAGTGCATATCCGGGAATTTTGAGAATCCCGTCTTTCCGTCTTATTTCGCGGTTTCTCTCTCTCTCTCTATATGAAAATTATTAATTAATTGAAATAATCGACGCGGCGAGAAAGACGAGAAACCGTTGTCCAATTTTCATGAATGTAAATTCTATCTCCTCGTTAAAAAATTCATCGAATGACTTGTTTTTCAGCTGTTATATACAGAGAGCTCTCTCTCTAAAGCACGAGGCGCGAATGCTTTACGCGCCTATTGAGGAATCTCCGCGTATCTCTGCGATTCGGATAATGCATTTCTCGATCGCACCTTCGATTCCGAGCGAGCGAGAGAGAGAGCGAGCAACGACACACGACCGACGTATATCGCGTCGTCAAAATCGCGTTATATTGTTAGTCGCATATGAGCGAATCCTCATCCTCCTCTTCCTCCTGCCGCGTATGTGTACGTGTCCCACCATCCCCATCCCACGTAGCCCACCGTCGACATAAAGTACGTATCGCATTAGCGCGTTAACGCCAATGCGTTAGCCGCTCGGCCGGCACCGAATGGCGGCCGGGATAAACGAGGATAAAATGACGGGCGGGGGTGGCCACGAGGTGGTGGTTGAACGTGAGGAAGGGTGTGGAATTGTCACCGATTGAAAACAACGCGCGTCGCTCACGTAGGAACGGTGCCGGGGAAATGCGGATAGAGGGGTAGAGGAGAGACGGATAGAGAAGCGAGGGACAGGACAACAGGGGGGGAGGGGTTGGTCGCGCTGGGGGTGCACCAGGGGGTGCATTCTATGGGGAGCAGCGAACAGTGTCCCGCTGCGTTCGATTACAACGTCGGGCGTAATAACCGAATTGCCCACGGCCCGTTAAAGCGTTTACACCGCTTGACGGATGATCGACCACGGTGACAACTCGTTTCGGGTAATATATGAATATGGACCGTGTGGAGAGAGCGTTAACAGACTCCCCCGATGAAAATGGCCGACGGCGTTCGTGCCTTATTTTGGGATAAATAACGCGCCCGCGAGAAAGTCGAGAGACTCGTCTTCTTTTCGCGCGGTAAGAGAGTGCGAAAGAGTGACTTTTGTGCGTCGAGCTCTTTTCTTCGGTATCAAAAAGTTTCGCGAAACGATGGAAATCGCGAGAATAATGTGCTGTATATATACTTGTATAACGAAATATCGATATTAAGGAGGATTTTTTAGTGCAAGTTTCGAAATTTATTCATTTCGTGCTGTATATGACGTGTGTACGATAATAAATGTACAATATATGTATATAAGTGTGTGTGTGTGTATTATATATTCATTGTAAAAATGTAATTTTTATCGGCGCGTTTGTGTTATAAATTAATTGATAAATTACCTTAATGGTGCTTTTAGTCAGTGTAATACTGTATAATGGCGCGCGATACCAAAAATAAGATAATTCCATTATCTTAAAAAGGACCGAGGGGGAATATAAATCAAGCCGCGTTCGGGACGTTTCCACGCGCGATTAAAATACCGAAATCGTCACGAGCCTCCTCTCGGCTCCGTCCTCATTTAAGTCACCCCAATTTTGATAACGACGACCATATATCGGATTATAACAATCACTCGTAATGACTGTGATGCTCACCCGTTAAACTGTTTATACCCGTTTACACCGATATCGGGTGATCGATCAACGCGCGGCGGGTCGTCGCGTTTGTAACGAGAACGTAATTCCCATTCTCTCGTTTGCATTCAATAAAGATGACGCGCGTTGACGAAAATGACACATGCATATATATAGCGCGGGAATTGTTTTTGGAGATTCCAGATTTATCAAGATTCAACTCACGATCGTCTATTTTCCTTCTCCGCGAAAGTACAATATCATTAGTAGCCAACTCATTATTGATTTCACCAACGTCAATTAAAACTTTATAACTCCCAAGTTCCCTTTATCTTAATTCCTTTTAGTTTCACTTGTACAAAAGACTCGATCGAGTTAACCGACATCTGTGAAACTGACCCACTCATCTGGTCCACTAGTTTCTCTCTTCCTCGAAACGCACGGAAACGCAATGACCGGCGTTTCGCGCGATAACCGAATCGCGCACGGATCATTAAAGCGATTAGGCCGGCTGTTGCGGAGGCGGCGAATTGCCATTTGTCGTTGCCGCGTGCAGGGAATCCTCGCATTTTCGGCTTCAAGATGGATATTCGCGAACCGGGCCGACGCCGCACGCGCGCGTCTGATTAATTGCCGTCATTCGATCAAGAACGACGTCGCGGCGCATTGGTAATGCGGTATTACAAATGACACGCACGCGATATATATGCGCGGGGGGCTATTAATTACGCGCGTACACGCGCCCCATGCGAAATTGACGCTTTTATTGTTGTTAGCAGTTATATATACGGACGCGTATTAATGAATTGTTCGTGCGGCGCCGAGTCGCGACGAATTGAAATGTCGTCTATATTTCGCGAGTCGATCATCGGCCGAGTAAATTCTCGTTTATTATCCGCGCGGAAAACACTTTCCGCAAGGACACGGCTATATTTTAATTTATCGATACTATAGAGATAGATCTATTTCTATCGCGAGCGACACTCTCATGCGGTAGTCTCATATTTCTCCGCGCGCGATTGTTGTTCTCTCCCTTCTGCCACCTTTTGACGTAAACTTATAGCCGCGGTTATGCATAATGTCCCCGGAAATTTGCACGACGCGATGATGCAATATTGAAGTATGATAAATAAAAGCGAGAGTACATATATATGTATAAAATTTCAAGATCGCGGTGCTTATTTGCCGAATAAGCTAATACGGAATAATTATGGAGACTTACTATAATAATGTCAAGGTTGTTGGTGAGATGATCCGGTAGAACGCGCTTGCTCACTTCCTCTTCCGGCATACCGTCGAACCTGTCGTGCTTCTTCCTCTCTTTGTATGTCTTTGCGCGTTTCTTGGCCTCCGCAAGCTCCGCTCTGAGAGAAAAAAAAAGAGTATAGAAAGGACCTTAATAATACGGCTGGATTCCTTTATGCTGCGTCATGTACGATTCAGCGCGAAAGCAACTATTTCTCTCGATCGGCAGGGGACACGCGGACTTTTTCCATATGTATGTCTGCTTTTTGTCGAGCCGGCCTCGGACTCAACTACAATGTTTCGATTCGTGACACTGTAACGCAATGTTACGTTTTGTATTCGGTCGAGAATTTGTATTGTGAATACGCGAATAAACACGGATGAATAAACCCGTATTTCTCGCGAGACCGTAGATATGATTTATAGTTGTGTTACGTCTTTAAAAGAGAGGCAAAAGAAGACCCGAGCGCTGAAATAATACACAGAACCGATTCTTTAAATACGCGTATTTTAATGCGAATTAAGATATTATTATGAACGAAACGCGTCAAATTAAATTAACATAATTTTGCAACGGAACATAGATTGCATTAATTAACATATTTGTGCACGCTATTTTTTTTTAATGTTACATAAGCTCGCACAACGAGCAGTCTTGGAAAAAAACCAACGAAGCAGAACATTTACATCGGTTTACATATAATGGCCTTTATTTAATCGCGACGATATATTTGATTAAATGGACACGATGGCGTACACAATTTGTCAAGAAAGTATGAATAATTTCAAGATCTTCAATTAACTTCTTAACAAACGTCTTATCATATGCCGTATATCTCTACATATAATGGCAGCGCGAATCTGATCGCGTTACGTTCTTAATATGCGAATTTTTTCTATTTATAAGTTTTTTTTTCGACCGACTTCATACATAAAAATAAGCGTAACTGAAGATCCTATCGGATCGGCAACATGGTGCCCGGTCAGACGGACATTGTTAGCAGAGCGGATATTTTTAACCATAGCTATGTGTGCGCAAATATATAACTAACTCCGGTTATATCGAGTCGCAGCTTCGTGGCCGGTTCATGATCCTTTTTCAGCTTCGTTTCCCTTCGGAGATTCGTTAACGCGTTTCATCAATAACAACAACGATCTTTACCTTGAGTTATAAATTTTTGACAGATTTTATTCGACAAAAAAAAGACGCGTGGGATTCTCTAAAAAATTGAATTTTTTTAAAATAAAGTATTTTTGCAAGGAAATCGCAAAATGGATCTTATACAATTAGACGTAATAATTGATCGAGCACGGACGTCCGCAGGGGACGTATGCCTCCCTTGAAATCAAGAAAAAAATTAAGCATCTATTCTCTTCTTTAATAAACACTGGAATTTATTTGCATATTTAACGTAAAGAAATAAAACTAAGAAAAACATTAAATTAAAAAAAATGAAGAAAGAAGAAAAAATAAAACAACCCCAAAAAATGAAATTGTGTCCCCTTCTGGAAAAATCCTGCGGACACCCGTGTGATCGAGTATATATTTATATGCGACTCTTACTCCTCGGGGGTGAGTATCATCTCCGACTTTTTTTTGCGGCCTCGCTTCTTCGGCTGATGCGCCAGCTGGGGATTGACGCCGGCGGCGCCGTTCATCACGAGATTCATCTGATGATGTTGTGGCCCGGGCAGCGCCCCGGGCGGCGTCGACGTGGGTGTACCCAGCCCAGGTTGGGCACCGCCCGGACACGTCATGTTCTCGGGATTGCCGCCGCCGCCGCCGCCGCCGCCTGGACTGCTCGCCGTCCTCATGCCGCCCATCGACATCTCCTCGTCCACGAACGAGTACGGGTCCACCGGCGTCTCGCATTTTATCGCGACCTGGAAAAGAGCAGAGTTGTGTCAGCAGAGACGTTGGCGGCCGTCATTTTCGGCGCCGCGTCGTCGAAGGAGATGCGCGCGTTTGTTTTAGGATCATCGTTTTAGGATCGATAGGAAAGAGAGATATTCTTTTATCTCCGAGTCTTCATTTTCTTGTTCTCGAAGTTTCTTGTTCGGATAAATTTCGCGGAGTGAGGAAGCACGTCAAATTAAAAATTCATCAGAGGCAATCCATAATACGAAAGATTATATATGTCATTGAGATGCGACTTCATAAATGTTTCGGGATAAATTTCGGCACGTCGTTTCTCCATATTACAATATTAAGGACTGACATATCATCGTATATTTACTGACCGAATTTCTCTCGTATTTCTTTGAATAATACATATCGGCGAAAGGGATGTTGGAGAACACCGGCGAATTATATCCTTGTGATATCTCGATGACGGCTTATGTATCCGACGACCGATTTAATTCCGCCGCGAAATTGTATCGCAGAAATTTTTCGTCGCGTCCGCAGGTTTCGGCCGGTTGCGGAAAAATGAAATTTCTTCTGAGCACGTACAATCTCGACGTAAAACATGTACCGACGATCATGGACACGTACAGGGACGATCATAAAACGTATGTAACCGACACCGTATGTATGTACCTCTCGATGCCTTGGGGGGAAATAGTAATAGCGCAATTGCCGCCCGTGGACCGAAAATATACAGCCGCGTATAACGTATCGACCGTTCGCGGTTGTAAAACGTGCAGCTGTCTCTTCTGTTTTTTTTTTTTTCCTTTTTTTTTTTGTGCGTTACTATAAATTGCGTGTAGCGCACAGTGACGACTATCGCGGGCATCTCCTGTTGCACTTTTCATATCGTCTGCTTTTTTGCATTAGCCGCGACTACAATTCGTACGTCAAAATTTTTCGTCTCTGACATGATTTTTATTTAACATGTATCTACGAAAGTTCATCAACTTTGCTTCTCAAGTTGAGTGACAAACTCAGAAGGATTAAATGTATATCAAACAACATGCGCAGGAATTATCGGTTTTATAACGCAATAAAATGCGAAGAGGATCAAATTATTTGGCAGCTTTCTTGTGTCAGCTCTCTTGATCGAGTTTTGTCGTGACGATATTAACGAGATGCTATTAGACGATTAACGCGACAGGTATCTGAGTGACGTTTCGCTGCCCGACTCTTCTCGACGACCGCGCAAAAATCCGATATCGCGAACTAAAATAAATGCTTCAAGCGCTATCCCGCCCAATGAAATCAGAAATTATTCAACAGGCCGTTATTGTATTCTGAAGGCTGTCAATAGTCGCGATAATTTAGCGTATCGATATTCGCATATTCCACGCTCTTAATTTTAAATGATCTCTCGCTATCGTTCGTTTAATAGAATAGGGATATAGAGATGTAGGATATTTCGAGCAAAGTTGATCTCTACGCGTCGTATTCTCGGCTTAAAATTCGCGTAAGGAAAAATAGCACTTTTTTAAAATAGCCATTCTTTTGCAACCAGTTTGTTTATTGGCACCAACCGCGTGGAAGGATCGCGTCGCTTTTTCGGCGTCCGCGAAAAATGGTGGAATAGAGTAAGAGATAACGCGAATCTGCCGAGGCTTCGGGGATTACGGAGGATTTTTTTTATCGCGACGCGTAAACATTCCCTCGCTTGCAATTTTCGACCTGGTCTCATCCCCGTCTCGACTATAGCCTTTCCAGCCGACACACTCACGCTCTTGACCCCGTGATAACCTCGTGAAATCGAGGTCGAAATCCCGCAAAGATAAGGACCGTACTGACTGGTACTTATCCCCACCGTGTGTCCTTTTTCCGAGCCTCACCCGAAGGTCGCCGCGACAATATTACCCGCGATAAGAACGTATTCATATCGTCATGCGTATACCGTATTGTTATTATTTACTTGCAAAAAGACCATAACGAGCGTATATAGCGTCGTCCTAGCACGAAACGATTTATTTTATTCGACAATATTAGAGTATAATATTTGCGTTATAAACGGGTAAATAGAGAAAATCTTTATTGCGAACCGCCGGTCGCGCAAGGAACGTTCGTTTATCGATTTGTATAGCTATTAATTTATATATTTCGGGAAAATACTGGGATAAATAAAGCGCATTGTTCGGATATTAAACGTTCGCTTATTTGACTCTGCTTTCACGTTTGTATAAGACACCAGATTAATATGAATCATATTCTAAAAACAAAAAAAATAATAATAAAAAACATTGAGCGAAAATAACTCGACTCTGTTGATATCTTTTCTGCAAAATGTGACAAAAGTTGTTTAGAAAATTAATATATAATAGACGTATTCTCTCTTTTGGTCTTTAATTATTTCGAAAAAAAATTCGTAACTTAAAACCCATCGGCTCATTTACGAAGAAACGATTAGGCACCTAAATCTTGAGAAGGATTAACTAAATAATGTAAACCCGGGATTTAGAACAGAGAAGCGAGATAATGCGAAGAAGGAGAGGGAAAAGATATAAACTCGATAAATCAGGCACGTTTGTTCATGGGTAACAATTCGATCAAGGGAAATTTGCTCCGCTCGTCGACCGTTCATTCGTTAAAACGAGAAGCTAGCAAAATCGAGATCGATCGGTCGTCACGTCACGCAATAATTTTCGAGAAAAAGATTATTGATCCTGACAGCGGATAACAACTTTGCGGATAATGGCAATTTAATATCGGATGAAATTTCTGTAATTCGTGCGCGATAGCGCCGATAGCCAAATTGGGGAGCTGCGCAACCTGCAATTAATTCATGAGCGTAAAATGCGCGTTCTGATTGAAGTCGCTGAAAATTACTATCGTCGAAATATTCATCCGAATCGTTCTTGCAAAAAGCTTTTATTGCGCCGATTTGCGTTGAGTGAAAATGCCAAATTTCGTTTGCAATAGTTTCCTAGAAATGGGAGGACATTTTTGCTTCTCGATACTGCAGATGTATAAATAAATATCTAAAAATTATCGTATTATCTAACAAATTTATTTGCATTTTCATTTTATCAATGAAGACAGTTATCGATGTAGTATAAATTTGGAAAATAGAAAAACGAATTTATCGCGCGTGACTGTAAAATGCTATAAAATTATTGCTTTATCTGTATTAGTGCAATTTTATCGTACATTTCGCGCTCGTATCAGTCGAAGAGGAATTACGCAAGACGTAAGCGATCGTGGAACGGTGCGTTTAGAGAGATTCTCGTATAAAGCGGAAAAAGAAAAAAAATAAGTAACCCTGCGTGGCGGTCCATCCGTGGCTTTCATTGTACAGACGACAGAGGTAACGTTGCGTAAGTAGATCGTAAAGCTAACATGAAAATGCAAATCGCTGCGCGCGGCATTGCGAAAAACCCGGAGTGGCGATTGCGCGCGTCTTTATTGCAATTTATTGCTCGTAACTTTGATTGCGAGGTGCCAGATACGGCCGATACGCCGGATTCTAATGAGAGAACCGTCTGCGCTTTTTAGTGCGCAATAATTTTGGCGTTTTACGCGCGCGCGGCTTTTTTATTTTGTTTTTTGTTCTATAATAACCACCATATTTTCTCCGCCGATTACGCGGCGATACTCGATCGCGAAGTCCCGCGGTCCACTTGATATTGACACGCGATCGCCGCGTGTTTTGTAATTTGATTGACATCTATCGTGCATTTCTTTGTTGAAACACGATCCACTCGGATCCGCGGATTTAAAATCGCATTTTTATCGTACTTGGCGGAATCTCGAAATAATAATAATAATAATAATCCGTACCGCGTACGGGACAATAAAATTCATGTTATTGCTGCTGTCTTACATTTTATCGTGTGTATATAAAAGGGGAGCGCTATATTTAAAATCATACATCAAATAAAATTTCAATGAACTTTCTATTTGTATACGCTTCAAATCAGAGGGAGAAAATACGGAACGTATTAATTTTCAGATTGTCATATCAGGTAGCGCAAATTTGTTTAATCCAAAATTCTGACGTAAGATCGATCGAGAGTATACGCTGTACACGGCCGCGGTTATCTTCCCGTATAATTACAGCAATCACGCGCATATATCACCCCGACAATTCCGCAAGCGGTGCATTATTCCCGACGTTTAAACATCGTAAACCGTAAGCAATAAAACATCTCGATTATATACCCATCGCAAATATTATAACCGATTTTCGGCGGACGGGAAACTTTTTCTTCGACAATTTCGATCTATACTTTGAAGAAACAAGGTAATATAAAATCGCGTCGACTCGTCGCGGACACGTAAATAGCTCGAGGGGGATGATGCGAGGAAGGGCACATGAAGGAGAGGGATCGAATATGCGGGGGAGGGGGTGGAGGAGAAGGGGAGAGAGAGTCGGGCAGGGTAGGCGAATATGAAAAACTCACCTGTCCGAGGGCGGAGGCGGTCGAGCCCGGCTGCTGGGGTTGATGCGCTGTCGCCGATATCGGCGTGAGGGGCGTGTGCGGCGTGTGCGGTGTGTGCGGCGTGTGTGGTGTCAGCGGCGTGTGATACTGCTGACTGCTGTCACCGCCGGTGCTCCTCATCTCGAGGTCCGGACTCGTCTCGTAACCGTCGTCCCTCGCCTCCTGCTTCACCATCACCCCTGTGCAGACAAGGACAGGGCGACGCCCTTTTAGATTTTCGGCTCGCTTATCTTTCGTTCGCGTTCCAGTATACTATATATATGTTCGTTGTATCGATATACGACGCGCGTAGAAATATTTCCGCGTTGTTCATGTGGCGTTCGATCGTCCACAAAAATTTGTCCGCCATGTAACGAAAATTAAAAATAAAATCAAAATTTGATCGTTGATTAGCATCTCTAGGCGCACCCCTATGTCTATCATTTTTTAATAATTGTATTTAGGGATGCTTTTTAATTTTTATTCGCGAGGTGGACGACAGACGATTTTTTATGGTCAATTGTGCATTTTGTGGTGGCACAACTTTATATAGACCTCGCCTTGTCTTCGGTTATGTCAGAAAGTCACAGCGAACTTTACGTATAGATTTTTTGGTCGTGTATTATTTACGTGAATAATGTTATATTTATGTTTCGCGATGAAAAATTGACGAAGAATGTATAACATTCCTTTCTAATTTTACTTTCCGGCGTCGCACGCAGACGTCAGACGCCCTCGTGACACGGCTCGTTAATCATTTCCCAAGTTTCTTCTATTTTCCTCCTCTCTCTTTCTGTATGTACACAAGCTAACTAGCTGGAATTATCGCGCTATTAATTCGCGCGGGAACTCCTGTCACTCATCTCTCGTCTCGTTGTATTGTGAAATACTTCCGCCGCGCGAAACTGGGAGAGTCAAGTGACTCATCGGGCGCAGTCTCTAACTCTAATCCCAGACAGCTACAGGTAAACGCAGGCACCAGTTGAATTTTCAGCCCAGTTTAAACATAGTTGCCGGCCGATTTGCCCGGAATCAAAGTGCGCTTCGAACTTTCGATATTTGTTCGCAAACTTTTTCAGGGGAGAGAGATCGAATTTATCTTCTCTACGGCTTTTTAAATCAGGGAAAACTCGATAAGTTGGAACTTTCTCCTCTACGGTTCCCTATCGAGACAAAATTTACTCCTACGTATTACACTGAGATTAAAAATAATTGTAAAAAAAAAAAAAATGATACGAGATAACTTTTGTAGGCGATCAAAAGTTTTGCTTCTACATTTAATTTCGTTTTATAACAAGATACTTATATATGTATGTATAAGAAAAATAATGATTAAAAATGAATCTTGTATTTTCTTTGTCATTTATATAGTAAAAGTAGCAGTTATTGGTATATTAAGGAATTAAATGTTCGTTAATTAAATTGTCAATCGATTCGATATGCCGCGACCATAAAGCTCAAAGTAGTGCTAATAAATGATGAGGAATAAATAAACGAGGCATTTAAGTGATTTAAGAGATTATTGTATAATCCACGGGACCCTGGCTGTAACCTTTCGCTCGGTTTAGTATCAACCCCGAACAAGTTTTATTGCCGGCGGTATCGTCGATGGTAATTTAATAGCTGAGGAGTACCGAGAGAAACGAGTTAATCGCTCGTCAGAAGATTTACCGGTTAGCCGTTGAAAGCCCCGGTAACAGCAAATACCCAGCCCACCCGCGCACAGTTCACTCGATGTCCGACGACGCGTAGAATTGTTCAATTGACCCAGAGAAAAATATTCCGCGGATTGATGACTGACAGCTCGGTGAGACGACGTGTGTTTGTAATTGGCCTCGGATTTTGGCCCGCGCGTGCACGCGTGTGCGTGTACGTGTATATATTTCGGCGCACGATTGTCGCGCGTCCACCCATATATATATATACATATATACACGCATCGTCGATGCCGGGTCGGATCTCGCTCTCGGGAAATATTTTTTTTTACAATTTTGCGCCAATTGCCGGGGACGATATCGACGATATAGTTTTCGCGGCCGCGAGTTCTCGCCCTCGTAGAATTAGACTCGGTCCTCTCCTTTGCTAAAAATTACGAGTATCGAGGAAATTTACGAGTTTCTATACCTTATATTATTGCGGCATTGACAGAAATTTTGGCAAAATTTCGAATCACGGAACACCGCGATATGCATATATATATAATTTTTTTTTCCGCGCGATGCAGTGCAATATTGGCAAGCACGCGCGTTACAAATGGATCACGATACAGAACAGAAAGGCGCATGGTACTTGCGAGAATCCCGTTATAATGAAAATTAATTTCGTAATAAGCTCGTGTTGAAATGAAGCTTTTTCATTGATTGCGCGTTCCGCGCAATTTCCGAGTGGGCGAGCGAAACTCGCTCGCCGATCCTTTTTCGTCGTGAAATTCCATGCGAATCTGTTTAATGGCTCGCTCGCAATCGCGAATAAACGCGAGGACGAGCTTTTTGCAATACGGCATGTACATATACATACATACATATATATATATATATGCAATATATATGCTCATATGCATCTATACGTATATGTACGATTCGTATATATGATATTCGCGGCGACCGCACGTTCGTCGCACGCGCTCGCTTTGTCACACGATGGCGAAAAATATAAAATTAATATTGTATCTGGTCCACTCTCTCGCGTATAGCTTTCCATCCCTCTCCGTCCCCAGAAACCTTTTGCCGCGATAATCGCGCGATATTGAATCGTCATGAGGCGGGTAATTTTTTTCCCCTTCGGTCGGCTGCGCTACGACCCCGCTAAAATACCAGAGTCAATATTTTCAAATATCCGCCGACGTTTGATATTTGCAAATTATATATGCGCGCGCGCGACTCCGACATATCACCGACCGGCTCTTTTTGCGCGCGCGCTCGCGCCAGTTTATAAAAGAGAATTCAGCCAATAAATTTAATGCAACGCTAATTTAATCGGAAGAAAATTTCGCCGGGAAATTTTTTCGGACCCCCCGCTAATTAATGAGCGTGCCGGAATGCCGCTCGCCCTCTCTCTCTCTCTATCTCCTTCTCGCTAGTCCGCTTTTATTACGAATCGCGGTGGCTTTATTCCAGCGCGGTGGCGGGGTCGTAGTAATTAAATGCAACGCGCGAACATTGCGCGACGCATTGAATTAGCAGAATTGTTTCCGAGCTTTTCTCTCTTCTTTTTTTTATTTTTTTGCCGTCAAGGAGCGGAACTTTCTTTCCTTTCTCTCGAACATCCCTGCCGCGATCGGCAAAATCTTACCTTGAGAAGTCGCGCAAGTCATCGTCGTCGCGCCATTTGGTCCTCCGTTCTGCACCGGTGATGGATATGACCTGAAAACAGAAAACAGAATGCTCAGTTGTAACACAGTCTTTCTTTTAATTACACATTCGGATTATTTTTAAATAATTTTTGAAATCTATCATCGCGTTTTATTATTTGATATTGAAGGGAAAACAATTAATTGGAAGAGAATTCCACGAAGAAATTGTTTTAATGAGGAAATTATTTGCGTATTCGACGTCAGTGCGATAAATAATGAATGTTCTTTCGTCATTACGTTCTATATAAAAATATAATGAAATGTCGTCATTGTATACTTATCACGAATTATCTTTGATTTTCAGATGCGGATGCGACGGGACTTCAGCGTGCGGTTGTGCAGCAACAGGTAAAATTGCTCTCGATTATTTAATAATAAGCTATCTTTTAAGATTTAACGGCCCGATCGAATATATAAATCGTGCCGGATAGTTAAAATCGGCGTTGGAGCACGGCGAGAGATTACCATAATTCCGGCGCATATAGTTATTTAATCAATCTTAAAAGCGTGTGTATATGCATATAATTTCGTAAATTTAACTTCTCGTTAAAACAACCAATCAATAATCTAGAAGCTAATTACGTAATATTTCAATACCCCTTTTGTCAGCGTTTTTCCAACATAATTTAACATTTTATCGAATTTTCCTTTGATATCGAAAATATCGAATATTACATTTGACAAACCCGTTACGAAAGCGGTACTTAATTTAATTAATTTTCAAATTACCTATATGTAATGTTCTTTTAGTTAGCTCTTCCCTGTCACATTTAAAAGGCAGAGCCGGAAACGGGTTTTCCCTAATTAAAATTTCCGTAATGTGATTGTCCTTTATCAAGATAGTTTCTTGCCAATGTTTTCATTTATATATATATTATAGAAATAAAAAGAGATTCTTTAAATCTCTTCCCTCAGTTTACGTTTACCACAATTTTGGATTTACGTCACGCATTATTTCTTCAATGTACATATTATTAGTTTCTCGTGCGATTATATATATATATATATCACGAAAATCGTGCTATATATGTCCCAAAGTTAGTACACAGACAAGACAAGTGAATGAAGAGACTCGGTAAGTTTTATAAGTTTTAGTTCATGTGACGTAACATGGCGCCCCAAACTTTACTCCAAGTTTTTCCTTTCATTTCATTAAAACTTCGCGACAAGAGAGGGAAAGAGAGAGAGAGAGAGAGAGAAAAGTACCGCGCAACTTGGTTAAAAAGCATGAGGCGGCGGTTTATCGAAGAATAATTATTGTTGTATACATTAAAAACCTCGCGCAGGAAGCGCGATAAGATGTACAACGTAATAGCGTCTAATTTATGTCCAGCTATACGACATATCGATCTCGATTACGTCACGAACAGGTAATAAAGATATGCATTTAACAATTTGAATACGATGCCGATGCAGTGATAATATACGCCTTGTTTTTACGCGACTTTATCCAGCCGGTGCACGATACGTCGCTTTTTTTTTATTTATTTCGCAATTCATAAAAACATTACGAAAATTTTTGAAGCGAGAAAGAGGGTATACGAATTATTAAAAAAAAAAAAAAAAAAAAAAAAGAAAAAACACGTTAATCAACGTAAAGCGCAAAATAAATGCAATTTGCATTTATCACGGGGAAACGTCGATTTTTCGAAATTTATCTTTCCGATGTACACGCGGACCACTCAATTAGGGATTATTCGAGGAGGAAAAAAAAAAGAAACGTCGATTTATAACAGCAGGACGGGGTGGGAAGCAAAACGGGGTGGGGAGATCCCGTTCCATCTCGCGATGGTAAACGCGCATGCCATTTAATTGATTGTGCCGGGCCGCGGTATCGCGCGCGCGGCAATTATGATCGCATCCTCCCTCTCTCTCTCTCTCTCTCTATTTCACTCGTCCCTCTCGTCTTCCGACTAATTATGAGGCACGTCGCGCGGCGGACCGCGTTGTTGCCGCACGCGTCGAAATCGTTTCGCGCGGATTACAGATATTAGCGATATAGGGGATGCGCGCGCGATATCAGAGGCCGAAACGACACTTAATTATCGCGCGCAGTCGTTTGAACGTCGTCGTTATTGAAGCGCCGACTACTCGACTGTCACGTTGAAGGAGCGTGGAGATGAATTTTGTTAACGTTTTTTCTGCGTCGAACTGCCTTTTTGAGATGGTCGACGCGCAAGGTAGGTCGCGATTATCTGTATGTAGGAGTGCATTGGTTGGGCCACGTTGATTAATTTCACGTGGATTAGCGTGGGGGTTTTTTTTTTCATTGATCGCTTCTTAATACGCACCGAGTTCAAGGAATTTATCCTATACCTCTGACCAATACGCACTTGTATGCATTTTTTTACGAAAGAGTTAATAAGTAAAGATTATCTACATTTGAACGTAAATTATGCAAATTACCTCTTTATGCTTAATGTATGCAAACAGATGGTTTTTACAAATGTCGTTTTACCATTTTTAGTTTAAACGGCGAAAATAAAAGAAATATGAATATAGTTTAATAACGACAATTATGACTATTCGAGAAAAAAAGATTCAAACAAAAAAAGACGTTTGCGATAAGTTCTAATGAGGTAGAATGGAATGCCATTAAAATTATAAATAGTGAAAATTACGGAGAAGTTACGGAAATTACGTTGCGCATATACGCGAGGTATAATTATATATCTTGAAAGTAACTAATCACTTTGTTTTCCGTATTGCAAAAGAGGATGTACTTTGTCGTGATCTACGCGGTGTCCCAAATGAAAAATCAACAAGTTTCTCCATCTTTACAGCTTTAATTGTCCTCGTAATCAGAGATCTATAATATACGAATACTTTTATAGAGTTTCCGCTCGGTCGTTTATCAAAAATCGATGGTGAAATAAGATCATAGAAAATCCACGGAGGACTTTCGATCTTGCGGTTTCTCGTTTGAATCTGCACGGATGCAAACTTCATTCCAGCCATCTGCGAAATCAGCCAATTACGGTCTTTGACGTTATTGAGCCTCGCGCGCAGAACCGAAGTGCAGCAATGTCAGGATTAGCTAATGAGGCGAGATTATCCTCATGGGAAGTCGCAATTAGCGGCTTAATTCGTCTCCGAATACAATCAAACACGATCAGAGTCTCTCTCCCTCTCTGCAAATGGCACTTAACGCGAATATATCATTTCCTTCCTTTTTTTTTTTTTTTTTTTGAGAAAGATAAAAAAACTTTAGAATTGTTTCATCCAAGTTTTTCGGATGATTTTAATCTCATATCTATTTATCACGTCTTTATCAGGCTCATAATCTTTTATCGCCCTATTTGTGTTTAGGAATTTATTTTCAAAATGCGAGAAAATTAATATGAATTTTTTTTTAAATTCAAATGAGAATGTTTATTTTTTTGCGATGCAATTTGAAATGGCATAAAAAAACACTGTGTACATCTCCACGTTTAATGCCCAGTACAAATATATTGTCGAGTAATAGTAAATATATATATTGTCGGGTAATAGTAAATTTGTGATGACGTATATGTGATGATGTGTACACAATATATATATGTACGTATCATAGCAAAACGGTAAATCGTTTCTGTTACACACCCTCGTGCGATCGGAGAACGCGAAGGGGTGGGAGACGGGCGAGAGGGGTGCGAATATAATAGTAATACGTTCGCAGTCATCGGATTGGTTTACTCATGGATGGAGTCTAAAAGCTCTGTCACCCGACACTGGGGAAAGTCATTCGATGAACCATTGACGTCGGTCCGGTAGCGAACGTGTAAGCTACAACAACCAGAGGCAGTGCCTGGCCTCTCCCGACGCTGCGCAGATCGTTGTTGTCGTTTTCGGGTTCATGCGATACGTGTAATTCAGCCGCATGGATTCAACGACGGCGCAAATATTTTGCGCGAGACTAAACGTAAATATTGTAAAAACGCAGGCGGCGATATTTAATATCGCGCTCTCGTGCGCGCGTTCTCTCTCCTTTCTCTCCACATATTATTTCCGGTCTCTCTCTCTCTCTCTATATATATATATATATATATATGAATATATATATTATAAAATCCGGATGCGCATTTTCGAAATCGTGGACACAAAAACAGGGGCGCGAATCGCGCGCCGCCGGCCGTGTGTGTATATTACGCGAGCCATTTTAATTTCATATCTGCGCATTCAATATCATTTTAGCGCCGCGAGCCGCCAAACCGGAGCTAATAGGCGAAAAAATGTTTTTGTTGTCGACGCATTAATATGGGAAAGCAGTGGCGTTTTTATCGCGGTGATATCAATTTTAAAGGCTATCACTCGAGAATATTTATCCATTCAAATATTTTCATCTCTTCTCGAACAATGCGAAATGGAATTCGCACGACGGGGATTCGCGTTTGCACATATCTATGTATGCATGTCTCTGAAACGCCGATTCTTTATTATATGGTATACGTGTGCTCGATATAAGAATTTTAATTATGCGCTCTTGCATGTACTCTGTATTTTATTATTTATCGTCTCAATTATTCTAAATATTATAAAGAATGCCGCGGAGAGAAATTATTCATTGGCGTACATTCCGTTATTTTAATTTTCGACAATTATAATCCCAGTAGTAGTATTTTGTACAACTTGTAGAGGAAATTTTCTACACAATTACGAATGTAATCGGACACCGTTTTATATGTATCATCGTGTACAGATATAGATAGAAATCTGTATTTTTTTTTCACCGCTAACTGCTCGTAAAAAAAGTGTTAGAGATTTTATTGAATATTTATATTTTTATTTTCATGTAACAAAAGAAATCAAATTTTTTTTATATTACACACACAGATACCTCGCACACAGTCGTTGTACAAAAAAAGAGTAGCAGTTGTCGCGCGTTATAAAAAAAAACCCCAGAATAAATTTATTAATATTTATTAATTTATCTCGTCGTGCGCGTCGTTTAGCAATGAATACATATTATAATCTCGTTATCTCCGTTTCTTATTCCGATCGGCGAATTAATATCGGGTTCGCAGCTAATGGCCAACCGCGAGCCGCGATGTAATTGATAAAACACCGGGTACCGCAAAATCATTTCAACCCGTTTAATCATACGTTGTCCCGTCTCGAAGTGTCTCGTTTCGAGTCCTGTGCATGACGCACAACGACGACGGCACACATTCACGATTGCGAAATTACAAAGTCGCCGCGGTGTAACAGGAAGGAAAAAAGACAAAGTGACTGAGAGAAAGAGAGAAAACTGAGTCGCGACCAGCTCGAGTAATAATAACGTCAAATCGTGGACCTTACAATTATACCTCATAATATCATAATTATCATAGAGAGAGAGAGAGACGTTATTTCTTTTTACACACGTTATC